ATATAATACAGTATATATATGGTATGCTTGTTTGTCTTTTTGTCTATGGTGTCTAATGATGTGATTGTGATGCTGTAATTCTGAGTGTTTTATGTGCTGCAGAACAGGAACCTGCTGTAAAACAGCAATTATGCTGAGTCAGGCTTGATTTTTAGTAATCTTTTCCTGTTAAATCAATAAATCAAATCAAATTAAAGCAAAGCAAAAGTAATTCCAAAATGGTGACTTTGTATTCTTTCTGGCTTATTTTGATGACCACCTTTTTACTCTCTATGTTAGTCTGCACAACAGCACAAAAATGTACACAACTATGTCTCACCTGCCAAAGTCGCAAAGCTTGAGCACAGCCGTCTCTGGATCAAGCAGCAGATTCTGGGGTTTGATGTCCCGATGGCAGATCCCAAACGAATGGATGTAAGCCAGGCTCCTGAACAGCTGGTACATGTACAACTACACAGGCAAGAATACACAAAAGACCTGTTTACAGCTATGGAACAAGCAAGCATGTGGTCATGACGAGGTTTATTATGGAAACAAGCACCTAGAGACCTGTTTTAACCTGGTCAGAAAATTTACATTTTTACCATCTGCCCTCTGACTCAAAACCTAACAAGTGGTTTTGGAAGGCTGAGCACAGGGACCAGCTGATTTATGTTGAYTCCCTTTAGGCTTTTTAGTTTCCAGAAATCACAGTCACATTCAGAGATGACTGTAAGTTTACTGCAGCTTATGATACAGGCATATGGGAATCATTTCTAATAATAATTACATTGTCTGGCATCAAATACTAAAAAGCTACTAAAGCCAATCAGAAAGGATACAAGTACATGTACACAATAGAAGCAGAACATGGTATTAAAATACTAGAATTAATACATGTACATGTCAAAATCTTATAATCAGCACATCAATCATCCAATTCCCTCAGTTTAGGATCCCTGTTGTTATACTTTCTGATATGGGTAATAATTTAATTACACACAAACTTAACAAAAAGGTAAAGTCAGACAAGTAAATAATGAAGCATGCATACAGGATACAGAATAAAGCTTGTATCAAAAGAGATTAATCTTCACAATTTATTTCACTTGTGGTRTATTTACTTTTGGAGAATGGCATTTCAACATTTGGCTATTTTTTGTGCAAACACACATACTGTAAACAGATCTTGATTTAATCCATTTAGATTGAGATTCTATTCACACTTCACCTAGAAATACTCACAACTACAATATGTTACTGCCTGGTATGTGTCTAGTAAATTATTAAACATGTATTTAATTAAAAGTTAAGGCTAATGCGTATTTTGGTGTTTCTAATTAAAGAAAATGAACATTGTTATTTTTACAAACAGATACCTTGGCATAAATCATGGGCAGCGTCTGTTTGGCTCGGCTGTAATGTCTAGCCATTCTGTAGACCGTCTCAGGCACGTAGTCCAGAACCAGATTCAGGTACACTTCATCTTTCTGTTGAAGCGACACAAAACAAGAAAACTCATGTTAAAGAGGAGAACATGCATAAAGATCAGAAAAAAGTGTTAACTATATAAAGGAAACATAAGATAAAAATCAATAAATACAATTAAGCACATCTCAGTTGCCTGGTAAAGTCTCTCTCTCTTTGGTAGTTTTTAGTTTCTCTCTTTGTGATGCCTTTATTCCTGATGAAAGGCGCCATTTTCGAGCTGATAACAAATTTTCACATTCTAAATGGGAATCCATTGTATCTCCCTTACCCTTAGGGACAGGAAGCACACAGCTGTGCGTCATAACAGCCTGTGTCTCAGCAGTGGCCACACAGACAATGATATCATTTCCTCGTTTGCTGGTTGACTGGGGCGAGTGGAGGAGGGAGGGGTTCTACTCGGAGCATACTGACCCTAAATACATGTTGTAYGTGCGAGCTCTCCACTCAGTTAAATTAAGACTTCCTCTTCACTTTACCCAAGTGATCAAACATAGATTCAAACCACAGATTGCACATGTCAGCTTGAAATGCAATAATTTATAAATATCTTAATATAAAGCACAATAAAGAAAACTAAAGTACATAGTGATGGTGTAGTAGGTGGATACACCCAAAGCCCTTTAAAAATGCAAATGAAAAATAAAACAAAATATCAAGTTAATTGACAGTTTGGATTTTACGTTTCTACATAAAACGCCAGGATGAAAAGTTTAGGGAACAAAATTTATAAGCAGTAGACTGTTTACTGGCTGAACTAAATGACCACAATTGTTTTTGGTGATTCTTTTACAAAATACTTTTTCTAACCCTTTAATACCAGTTAGTTATTGGGTAAAAATAATTTAGCCACTACAAATTTACGTTTTACCCAAGGAGGTTCTATAGAACTGGAGCGCACAAAAACTATGTGACCGTGTGATCGGCTGGAGAAGCTAAAGGCTAACGCTAAACGGGCAAGACTCTGGATTTCCCATTATTGTACATGTTGGCAACAGAGCAGAAAAAAGGACTGACGATGTAGAAATCATTAAAACTATTAATAATAATATTAATCCAATTATTATTAATATTTTAAAGTTCATATAATCCATCTAATGTTTTAAATAATGCCAGAAAAGCTGTTTATGTATTGGATTTATTAACAGAAGATAAACAGGAAAATGTCTYATTTTATAACACAAGTCAGCAGATTTGATCTTATTTAGCTCAATGTGATCTGAGCAGAACATAATGTAACAGTTTACAATTAAAATAATCTTACAAAGTCGCTGTAATCACTGTTATTTATTGAACTGGTTAACAGATATTAGCTTGTGGAGCATATATACAAAGTTTAGCACTGTTGAATCATGCTACAATTTAACAAACTACTAAATATTACAGCTGATTTGTCCTCTGATTAATATTTAGACCTACAGAGTGTAAAATAATATTATAAATGTAAGTATTTTTAGGTTTCTGTTAGAGGAACCTGACTTGTTGAGAAGATGGTTAGCTAATAGAGTCAAGTTTCAACCTATAACCAGAGAACATTTTCTAACTGTTGACTGGTAAATATAAATATTCTTGTTTTTTTATGACAGTGAGAAGAAATAATAAATATACTTTATTATCAGCTGAAGTCATCATTTTTCAACAAGCTAAAGTCTAACTTACAGGCTGACTTCAGGTCTGGTTTAGATCATTGCTACTTATAAATTATATATTTTTCTGGTATAAATCTGCTGTTTTACATGATTGTTGAATGAAATTACCATAGTTATTTATTTATTGTAAAAACATGACCGATAATCTGTGAAACAGATCCGGTTCAGCTGCTGTTTATCTATTAGTTTCTATGGARGCTGTGAGCTGTTGTCCTGTTAGGTCTCAGTTTCTGCTCCTCCATGCTGTCACAGACGCTACCAGTGGACAGGATGGGCGGGGCTCAGTCTAGTGATCTATATATTTAAGTCTATGTTTTTACCCCATCATAACCAAGTGTTTTAAAATCATCTAAGTTGTGATGTAATATGTGTTGCATTAATCATTAAGGAGGAGTAGGGAGTAGTGCTGCAGACAAACCACAAAATGCAACTGTGTGCAACTTCATCTCTTCAGTAATGAAACAGATTTTCTAAACTAATCATTTTATTTTTCCTTATTCCTCTGCATTAAAGAGAGCCTATATATTTTTTCTTACTAACCCCATCTGTTAGCAGTATTATCATCCTGACCTTTATTCACCCTGGTTCTCTGCAGGTCTGCAGAGTGCAGTCAGTCAGTGAGTTATGTCCAAGAAAAGCACCTCAGACAGACTGGTGCGAGACACTTCTGTCAGCTCAGTGTCCTGCTTTGAACCAATGGTCATCCCCTGCTCTCACTCAGAAGAACAAGTGCAACAAGCAGCTAAATCATTATGACTACTGACAGGTAGAAGAGACACCACAACGTATTGCACRAAAAATCTGCATTCTGTAATATGGATGTTCCTTTAAAACACTTCCTCCTTCATAACCACCAGAAGCTGGTAAAAACTTTTTAGTAAGGATTTAAAGAACTTTAAATGAAGTCCAGATGCTACAGATTATAATCTGATGAAATCTGGGGAAGACAACATCAAACAACAGAAACCATAAGCTGTGATCCCCAGGAATTAAGGATCCAACACACACTTCAAGTCACTGATGATGATTAGATGCTGCTAGTCTACGCCTTGACTGGAGAAACCTTGTTGATATTAGGTAGGTGGTGAAAATGTTAAGACGACTCAATGGCAAAGTCACAACAAATGTCTAACACTCAGGAAACAGATGCACAGATGACTTCTAAAACAATAACRTAGGCACCTTTTCGCTTCCACTACTTGACACACTTCCATAAACTTTTCTCTTCTTTAGGAATGTGCGTATTCAGTCATTACTCCATTGACAAAAAAAGAATAAAACATCGATAGCATTTGTGATACAGATACAGAGCCTTTTCTGCCTTTTGCTAGCACCATCAAGGCTATATTTAGCCTAGCAACAGCAATGACTCACTTCCTGCCTCACTACAAAGCCACTTCCTTGGCTTGTTCCCAGAGGGTTAGCAAGGCAGGGATCTGATTGGCTTCTTGTTCACTCCCTGCTAAATAATAAGCCCCTAATTTAGTGTGTGTGTGTGGGKGGGGGGGGGGGGACTTTCATTCACCTGAACAACTGCCTAAGCTCTCTATCAACAACAATCATCCTCTACATTGTGCTAAAGGCTTGATGGAATCTGTAATACACACTTAGCACATCAAGTGTGGCTCATATTAGCATGTGTACTTGTGCTTCCTGTCATGTGCACCCAAGCTTGACACATGAGAAAAGTCAATACTAACAAAACATTAAAACAAAAAGCAAAAGCACACTGAGTGAATCCCTATTTTACCACAAGCTAATGTACTGCTTGCAACAAAGCACGCTGCATCCAAGTCTCTAAACAGATGCATGGTATGTCATGCATTCCCATTAACTTGTCTCTTACTGTGTGCTGGCAAATTCTGAGGCAGCTCTGCCAGCTCACTAGACCTTAGTTATTGCCCCGAGGCAGCAATGTTGAACTACCGCCTGTCCATTAACATCAGCGTGCATGTCTGAAATACATTTCCCACAGCCGGGATTCAAGAAGAAAAGCTGTCATGGCCTCCAGAAAGCTACACTGGGATAATCACTACTGAATTGATGAACAAACAATGGCTTAAGAATAAAAATGAGCTGTGTGGCCCTCCATCCCTATCTTTAGATGGGCAGTGTTATGTAGTCACCTATTATTAATACTCTTCATATTAATGCATTCCTCTCATTTTATTACGCCAAAGTACCAGCTCTAGCACAGTAGAGTACCATGGTTAATAACCCAAGTTTTGATTAGAATAAAAAACAAGGCATGTGACATGATTGAGATAAAATAGCTGAATGAAATGTCCAATGTGATTAAATGTTAGTAAAAAAAATGTTGAATAATGAAGGGATAACACAATAATCCAACATATATTTAAAGTTGTTGGTAGCCCTAAATGAAAAACACTAGATATATTTTCCTCTACAGCTATCTAGATCCCAATATAACTTCTTTGCAGGTAATCCATGCTCATGTATAGTGGTTTGTAATAGGTGCCTAAGTTTGCAGGAGCCTCACTGAAACAAGAAAATTTTAAACTGTTGCTTTATCTTAAAGGGATCTCTGATTAGTTGTAACATTAGACTTTATTTGATAAACATATATTTAACTGTAAAATAAAGACTGTAAAAATACTGTTTAGCTTTGTAAATTTTTAAAAATATATTTTAACACGGGCGGAGCCATTTTATTTACACGCAAAGCATTCTGGGTAAATGATGACATGGACAGGTCCTCGTGTGAGCGAGCTATATCCACCCTGAAGGTTAATCTTGGACAATATCTGACGATCGGCTCTTTTAAATGAAACCAGAGAG